CTCCACAAAAGGAAGTCAAGAGAAGAAATCAAGAAGATGAAACCAATAATCCAATCCAGTGGAGTCCTTCTTTACTTCTAATTATAATCAGCAAAACTACGCTGAAAATGTGGATTTTATAGATGTCTTGCTAAATGTTGTTGGCTGCTCTTAACTGGTATCCTCAGTGATATGATGACGGAGCCATATATTTGCTGATGATCCCTTAACTGCAAAGTCTTCCAGGACAGCGTCAGCTACAAAGAACAAGACGCATATATTTAATGTAGATAATCTTTCTCCATCGTAGTCTTCGCAAAGAGACCATTGTTAGTGTTTGCTTGCTTGCTTGTTTAACATCCCTTGGAGAATTTTTCACTCATATTGAGACACCACACTTGCCGATGGAGGGCTGCAGATTTAGAGCTGTATTCGACACTTAGAGCCTTAGAGCAGTGAGGGATCTTCTTCGTGCCAGCACCGACTGTGACACGCAGGACCTCGGTTTATACGGTCCATTCAAAGGATCTCATTCGCGTCACACAGTTGATTCGAACCGATCAACTCCTTACTCCGCGACTCTAGAGCAAACGCTGTAACCACTGCGCCACGCGGGCGACCCATTGGTTGACTTACTTCACTCATTCCTGTTCGCTCCTTGAGGAGCATAGGGCTGCAACCATACCGCGCCAGCGACTTTGTTTTGTGCTATATTTTGGACACAGGTAAAACCTCCCTCTTTTGCCTCCATTTTCACGGATCTTCTCCAGGTTTGCAAGGGTCGTTCAGCCCTCCTCTTTCCTTGTAAGTTCCAATTAAGAGCCTATTTTGTGATGTCCGGAGATTTACGTAAAGTGTCTATCCCCTATCCCCATTTTCTCTTCTTTATGTCGATGTAGTTGCATGGGGTTTTTGCTGGTTCTCTCCCATAGGCTGCTGTTTGATATTGTGTCGGGTCATCTGATGTTAAGGATATGGAGGAGACATTTTTTGATGAAAGACTTTAGTGTGTTATTTATTGTTTTGGTTACCTTCCAGGTCTCAGAACCATATGACAATTTTGTTAAAAATCCTGATTTTGCTGTTGATGGAGAGTGCTTTAGAATTTCAGATTTGTCTGAGGGTATTGAAAGCATGCCTTGCCTTCTTAGTTCGGCTTTTGACGTTATCTGCGCCACCGTCCTTCTTGACGACACTCCCAAGATATAAGTGAACCTGTCGGTTTCTCAATGTTTTTCACCCATATTTTTTAAAAGTAGCTCTCAGTTTGGGATGAATTTTATACTGAAATCTTAAACACAATTAATTTGGAAAAATAAAGTTAATTTTGAGGGAAAAAGACCATATCTCTATCGAAAACTGTCTCTAAATTCATCTATGATTTTAGGTCATGCTAAACTCTGCGCTCAGATGGGATCTATACTCCTCCATTGATTGAAAACAAGTATTCTTTTGGGCCTTGATCGGACCAAATTTGTTAAGAAGGTGCATTTAGGTAGAGTTTTGCTAAGCTTCTTGTCACCCTGCACATGAGAGTTGTTTCTTCCTCTTCACTGTTTAAGCTGCAGGTGGTGGTTTCTGACTCCATCTGTCAGTGAACCAATACGTGTTCTGTTTCAGACAGCAAAATACCGATATGCTCAGCAGATTAGACTTAGGTTGAACCAAGGCTTCATCAATGAATCCAGATTGTGGAAATACGCATGCTGCCGTACGGTTCTGCAGAATGATAACAATACCACGTACTTAGCATCTTGCACTCTCTCTCTCTTCTATCTTTCCTCTGGAACTTGTTTTTGTAACGATTAAAAATACCTTTTTGAAAACAAGATGCTAACACCAGAATTGATGTTTTGCCATATCATGCACTCATAACAAGTTATTTTGCTTCTGGCAGTAGACCTCTTCTTATGGTCTCGATCGCTCATCTTCACCTACATGTAGGTGGTGACAAGTCCATAATTCACCCCCTTCTGTAGATCCATCTTCCCGACTCTTGGATTGTTGTTTTGTCCATGCAGACTGTTGTGTTTTTTATTCCTGCATGGAATCTACGATGTGCCTGGATATATACATATCTTTATAGTGCTAGTGTCACTCTTGTCCCTCCATCTCATTGAAATCAAGTATATACTCGAACTTGAGCTAACTATTCGAAGTTGGATAGAGGCTTTCTTCTGCGAAGGAAAGGTCAAACTCTTCTGTTATATACAATTCGATATATTACACTGCTGTTTCTGCGACAAACACTCTTGAATATAACACTCGTGCACGTTAATTATGCAAAATCACTTATTTTCGAGGAGTTAATTTTTCGTAGTTTGATGAGAAATGGTTCATGAGGAATGAAGAAGAAATATGATGCTGTATTTTTGAAGTTATAAAATTTTGTGGGGGACATGAATTTATGATTCTCTTCGCACCACGAAAACAAAGAAATTAGGCCCACCTCCAAGAAAATTATTGATTTTACACGATTCTATTTATTTATCCACTTGTTTGCCTGTCTACGTGTATTATGTTACTTGAAGACGATGTTACGGACACGATTTGGGTTGTGGTTTGATTGAACGGCTTTCTTCGTGTCATCGAACTTAGGCGGGGATGTTGTCAAACGTAACAGAAAGTTGTCCCAGGCAAAATTTCGACGGATCCAATTTCTGAAATACCTGGAGACTTTCTTTAGTACGTGAGCAGTGCTGCTGCCTCTTGCAAGTGACTGCTATAGAAGCACAGAATCAGCTTTTCCTTTTTAAAGACTATTTGGACTTTGCTCTTCCAGATGACTTGTATAACCGTTATGGATTGAAAGTTGTGTCACGGGAATGGTTCAATCTCTCTCTCTCTCTCTCTCTCTCTCTCTCTCTCTCTCTGGCATTCGTATATTAGACAGTTGTTCTATTCAGTCGGCAAAGCTCTTGAACAAGTATTGAGTTACGCTGATACATGATTGTCCATTCCCTGGCATTGTAGTACAGTACTAGTACTGTGAATCTATCACCAAGCAGTTGTAGTTCATGTAATTTCTTTTATGCAGTCTTATGTGTAATGGGAATTTGATCTCTGGGAATGTAATAATATAAAAATTTTCTGGAGCTCATTATTGATGCTGTCATCAACGTACTCGATCATCATTTAAGATATTGCATGGAAAGAAACACTATGATTGCATGGTCAGCACTTAACTGACGGGGATCTTCCTTTCTTGAGAGGAGCTGACAAACTACAGTTTCTGCAGTGATCTTTACTACTGTCGACAACAACCTGCAGACTCAGATCTTGACTCAGGACTCAGAACTACCCTTTCCTTTTTTGCTTGTTGCCTTTTTAGCTCACCTGAGTCAAAGGTTCGAAAGATATTTTCTGATCAAAGTTTGTCCGTTGTTCGTCCATGTGTCTGTCTGTTTTAATTTCTTATATCTTCGACTTCCTCTCCAGAACGCTGGGCAATTTCACCAGATTGGAACAGAGTATCTTTGGGTGATTTTTTGGTCCAAAATTACAAGTACATACTGGGGCCATGCCTTGAACAAAATGAATCAACACATAAGTTTCATTTTATTTCTGGCAACTAGAGAAAAAGATATTTAAATGAATTCCCCATTTTCGTCTTTTCTTGATTATTTCCCCTTGCAATTGGTACACTGGTTCTGGAAAAGAAAAGGTAGCAGACGACGGACGGAAGAGCAAAGGTTGATCAGGAAATCTTTCTTGGGCCTTTGGCTCAGGTTAGGTAAAAACCATTGCCTTGAGTAAGGAGTTAATTTTCACAAAACTAGCTGTTCTGGACATAAGATGTTGTCTGCTTAATATCTTGAGAACCTTTTGCTTTAAAGACATATTTGGTACACTAGTACCCTTTAAGAAGTAAACGACCCCTATTGATATCAAATTCTGATAGCAATCAAACGTAGGACATGTATTGTGCTTGCCCCTGACTTGTAGATAACATATTTTTTTACGGTCATTTCAGACATTTTTAATTAAAAGTTATTTTTTTTGTCACATGGGGAAGGCAAAAGAGGGGGGGGGGGGGGGTTACATGTTTCTAAATCATCTTAAACATTACTTGTTTATAGGAATTTTAAGATGATTGTAAGATGATTGATAAGTGTATTAAATGAGTAAACATACATCTTGCCAAGAAGCATATACTGAGGTTCAGTTACATGTTTGATTATTATACCTCAGCAACAACATTGGGGTGGGGGTGGGGTAATACTGAAAACACCAGTCCATCCAGTCTGTATATACTCAATTTTAAGCTCACTAATTAGACCACTTTCTAGCTGGCTCTAGAGGTATAAAATTTAAATGAGCTCACTTTTGATCTCAGTCTCAACTTCACGAAAGGAATATTTACTACAGGGCTCTAATTGGTGACTAATTTAGCACAATGGCGCCTTAAATTTTTGATTGGCACCTAAAATTTCTCTATGTTGCCAATTTGGTGACCATTTTAAAATGACTTGGCGATGGTCAAATTTTGGAACTATAAACATGATTTTCAACAATTTTTTTCCAGAAGAGGCGAAAAGAAATTTTAAAGTGAAAATCATTTCCTAGTTACTGTATCTCCTACATTACTATAGGGGGTAGGGGCACAAAGGTACTCTTATGTCCTTCCACTTTCAAAAGTGGAAGGAGCACTAAACATCCCTCCCATGACTACCCTCACGGGTCCCTATATTGACTAATAGCAGCATCTTCAGGCTCCTGAAAAAATTTTCCTCTCGGCTAAAAATGTGCATAGGAGACTAAATTTTTTTTATTAGGAGCCAGCTGGTGCCTAAACTTTAGAGGTTACTTAGATGTCTGATACTAAAAGTGAAAGTGTGGGTATCTCCAAAGCAATTTTGCAGATGTGGTGTGTAACAAGATGATGCCTGCTTTGACTGTACCACTGGTAAGGGTATCAGTCCTATTGGGAGCTATAGTTATGTGGCAGGTCTGATTGAGAGGGACTGAAGAATAACACAACCTCTGTAATAAACATTGTTTTGGCAAGAAACAAAAATAAATACTGGAGGAAATACCAATGTTTTTATTAACAATTTTTTTGATCTGACAAATTTCAGTTCAACTTGTAAGTAAAACAGTAATGGTACAAGTAGTCACGTTTAATCATAAAACAGTTCTAGACTGAAAGCCTAAAATCTCACAGCCTATTTCATATACAGTAAAACAAGCATAGACTGAACTCACATATAGGGGAAAACTGCTTACAACAAAATATATAGTAATGAATAATGAAAAAAATATTAAATAAATAATGGATGTAAGTACAGTGTACAGAAGCAATTCTTACCATTTTAATGATTCATTTCAAGCATGTCTTACTGTATATCATTTACAATGCCTCAATTTGAAATCATAATCTGAATCCTTATCAAAGTTTTCAAGAACATTGCAATCTTGCTGACAAATAATAAAATTCAGTAAAACTTGTCTTATCGGGATGTTGTGTAATCCAAAATCTTGCTTAATACGATGTTAACTTTAAGTCCATTTCAGTAAATTCATTTGTTTATAAAAAATGTTGTCCAATCTGGAATCTTGTCTAATCCAGCCAGGTTAGACAAGTTTTACTGCATATACTCCTTGACCTCCTTTCCCTGGTTCAGGTTATGTACATAAACATGTTAAAGTCTGTAAAATAAAGATGGAAAATACCACCTTTCTAAGTTAAAAATAGTTCTTCTTGTGTAAGACATGAGAAATTATAGATCCTAATTTGTGAATGATGCTCTGACATAAAAAGCAATGTGTATAACTTCAACATCAATATCTTGATAGATCCAAGTGACACCCAGGACATCCCAACCATTTTTTCATGTATTTTAACTCAGTATCTTAAACCTGGGATAACTTCATTTTTTTTTTCTCAGTCCAATTAAGATAAAGTTTGACTGTATCATGTTCACATCGCAGATGCAGAGAGCAATTCATACAACTTCAGTAACAAAATACACTGTCAAACCTGAAAAGGAATAACAGCACAGCAAACATCTCAAAGAAATTAATTATTAACAGATTTTCATTTAACTTGCAGTAACCAGGTATGGTAGCTAAAATTATATATTCATTAATTAGAAGACAAATAATTTTGATTTTGAAAACTTTGACTAAGGACAAAAGAATAAACTACATGAATTACATGAAAAAATTCAAAGTTATGATGATGAACTCAATTTCCTAATTTTCATGTTTGTCAGAGAAATTATTATAAACAATTTAACTTGCCTTACTTCCACGATACTTAAACTTAACGATTATACAACAAACCATCGAATAACAACAATAATGTACAATATCCTTATCTAGGTTAGCACTTACATAATATGTAATTATTAAACATAATTAATGTTATCGTAGTGGTTAGGACACTTGATCTTTCTAGTTATTCTTTAAGCATCACATAACAATAAAATAATTGACCTATAATCGCCATGTTAGAAAGTTATCACAGAAAAGGGAAATAACTCTTAGTGAATTCCAGTTGTATGAGTAACATAGGTAACATATATATAGGCATCACTTCGAGTACAAAAAATAATGCGTACAGTCATACAAAATATATTTCCAGGATAAAAGGGTCCCCTTTTCAAATGTCAGAATAAGTTTTTTCTCTTTGTAGCGAAGTTCTTTCAATCAACAGTAAACATAAAACTGCTGAATTGTATAAGAGAATATGACATTTTGATTCATGACCCATGTAAGATCTATTCCAAGTAGAAAAATAAAAACTTAGAAAAAACCTCATTTTTGAACAAAATATTTATGATATATACAAACAATGTACAACTATATCCTATTTACATAATTCAAATGGATTTCATAAAAAATAAACAACAATAACATACAACAACAAAATAACATTTAAAAATGTTGATGAAACAAGTTTTGACAACAGAAACCTGATTAATTACAATAACAATATAATACATGGATTTCTAATTCTACATTTCTTAAACAAGAATTAAGAATAAGGGATTAAAAACCATGTGTGTTAAGAAGAGCTCTTAAAAATGAGCTTTTCAATTTTGTAGTTACCACTGAAAGACGCATGTAGGATATTCACAATACAGATCTAATCAAGTCTGAAAAATTAATGTAGTAATTTGTTTTTAAAAAGAATTGTTTTCATGTTTTCATGGGTAATTAAAAATCTCTTGTGTCATGCATAAAAGGCCAACCAAATGTTTCCTTTTTTTGCTAAAAAGAGGATTAATATTTTGATGTTTCTGACACAAGCCTTTGTGGCTAAGGCTTGATAATAAAATATCATTTTTTAAATAAATCCAACACATACAAGAACCAATACTTATTCATGATCATGCAAAAATATTTGTGCTTAATTTTGAATATTTTAAAACAAGAACTGAAGCAGTACCTACATAAAAACTAAAATGTTCTCACAATAAAGGACTGTTATGGTAAGGCCCAGTATCTGACCAAGTCTGGTTAATTTGCTTGAGAAAACAAATATCCAGCTAAAAATTGTTGCTGCAGTCAAAATGACAGATGTCAAAATAGATATTGGTGAAAAAGGATAAACTATTTGTTGGTTTCTATGGTATCAAAAAAATATGTTGTAAATATTTGGTTTTTGAACTTGATTCTTGTGCTCAAATGAACACCTCAGGCATTTTACCTAAACTTTTCCACTTTCTAGATAATGTATCAGAATTTTCAGGCTTCTGTTTTGTATATAAGTTGCTTGATTTTCGGTGGTATGCTTTTCCTATATTTTTCCACTTTCTAGATAATGTTGTATGAGCATCTTCAGGCTCCTGTTTGGTATAAGGTGCTTGGTTTTCAGAGGTATACTGGTCATTGGGCTGATGTCCTTCCCTTTATTTATCCATCCCTGGATAGCTGACCGCTCATAAGTATAGCCATCTTAAAAAAATGTGCACATTATTATTATTATGAATCAGGTGACATGAAAATTAACTAATGCATGATTTAAATAAACTGTTTTTTTCTCAGTCCTTTTTGTTTCCATGTACTGGTAAAAATATATAATTGGTGCCATATTGATATCCACCAGTAGCTAAACTAAATTTCTCCAATCAAACTCACCCTCTGCCATCACTGGATCCTTCATCAATTCCCTTGTTATAGGACACAAATACTCATCAGGAATACCATTATCTGTTAAGACATGTAAAAGGTCTTGACACTGATGCAATTGAGTGACAATTCATTAAACATGAGGACCATGGGCCACAACATTAACCTCAGTCCATGTGGTCCTACTGTTTTCTTCTTCAGAATAAACAAAAATTTCCCTGTACATTCCATGTAAATGTTTGATCCCAATTGTGGCCCCATCCTACCACTTGGGAACATGCTTTGAAAAAGACTGAATATGCACTACATGAGAGGTAAGACTAGTTGTGTCAATGTTGTTCTTGAGAAGAATAGATATTCAAATTTTTTTTTCCAAAGAAGTGTGAAAGCTTGGCTCCTATTGTGGCCCCATCCTTGCCCATGCTTCTTGAGAGGATGATTTACAAAAAAAAAATTCACAGCATCTTTCTATTTTCAAAGTTTGATCCCCTACTGTGGCCTTGAATCTTCATTACCTGGGCATGTTTGCATATGAATATGACTAAATGTGACCCATGTAAAACTTATATTCCTATTGTTGCCCTATCCTACCCTAGAGCCATGAAACTTGAATTTGAACTACCTGAAGATTCATATATTAAAATATGACTACATGTAATCATGCCTTGTTGTTCTTGAGAAGGTTTTAAGGATTTTTCCTACATTTTCCCATGTAAACTTGGATCCCAGGGGATTTGAAAAGCCTCGAATCTCCACTACCTGAGGATGCTGGAATATTAACATGGCTACCCATGACCTTGCTGTTCTTGAGAAGATTTTTTAAGATTTTCCCTTTACATTCACAAGTTATCCCCTAATGTTATCCCCATCATATCGTTTGAGGCCATAATTTGAACAAATTTGAATCAATCTTCATTAAGAAATCTTTCACATAAGTTTGAATGTTTCTGGTCCAGTGGTTCTTGAGGAGATCGCTATTCTTAATCATCTTCGATGAAGATGTGAAAAATTAAATCCCCTCACCAATGATGCCTTGTAAGAAATTTTTTTGAAATTAATCAAATAGTCCCAGAGAAGAAGTCAAAAATATGAAAAGTTAACAGATGATATACAGAAACTTTTTGTAATGAAAATGAAGATTTTTTCCCTTTATGTTTGTTTGCAAAACTTGATCTTGATTGAAGACACTTTCTTAGCATTAGGGGAATGTCTGAGCACCACTAAACCCACCCTTCTTGAAGAATGGCTATATTATCTTTATTTGACAATTCACAGCCTTGACTGTTGTGTGTTGCTATCATATACACCTAACATAAATATCACCTCTTGATTAAAGTACATCTAGATGCTCTATGGTTCATAAAGACTCTCTGAAATTTACCCAACTTTCCCATGGAAAACTTGTACTGGCACAAACATACAGCATATGTTATTTTTTCACAGATCGATGGTTGCAAGTGTCAGCCATGACAGTGCCTGATATGTCCAAAATCATCAATAAAATTATACAATTTTAAGGAAACTTCTTATTAATGACAATTCTTCAATTAATTTGTGGAATTCCCTTAAACATACTCACACTTTACCCACCCACCCCATCCCCATTGTTACCAATTCAAAAAGCCACTCCCAAGAACAGTGAACCTTATATATATATAAACCCCAGCTGGAGTTATCTCACTTTACCTGAGATATTGGAAACACTCCTGGTAATGGTTGGTTTGTTCTGAGCCGTTTTAATGCAGCGTAAAATCTTATTTCTGTGTCCTAAGGCAGCTGAAATCAAGAAAATATATTCAGCATTTGAGTGAACTATTCAGTATCTTCCACAGAATATAATACAATAAGAAAAGCATCTGAAAATGGAATTTGATTCATGAGAGTTTCTTAACAAATGACTTAACACTTTGTTACTTACTAACTCCTAAATCTATCAGAGTCTTATCATCCATGTTACAGAGTTCTGTCCCATCTATAGCATTGGACACAAATGAGTCTTTGTATTGGCCAAGCTCAATTTGAACTAGCCAATCACCAACATCCTCTGCTGACCATGACTCCAAATGTTTGTGGGCATCCTCTTTCTTCTCCACCTTCACAGCACATTGTGGTTCTTTGTAATTGTCTTTTAAAATTAAATAAGAAAACTGTTAAAGAACCTTTTGAACTTCAGTGGTTGATCCAGTTTACCTGGTACTTCCATTGGACTCAATCTTGTTTGTCAAAAAATTTTCATGAAAATCTTATTTTATAGTGAAGTTGGAGAGCTCAATTCATTCGTTTCATTGGATTTTGAATCCATCATGTATTAAAATCTATTTCATCAATAACAGCCCTACCAGTAAGTTTTGGTCTTGTCAACATTTTCTATACATAATAAGGGCCCTTGATTGGTAATAAAAGAAGTGCTATGTTACTGAGGTAAATGAAACCTCCTCACCTATACAATCCTCCTGTGTTGTGATTTTCCAGATCATGACCAGCTTGTCATTAGATCCAGAGGCAAGAAGACGACTGTCACTGGAGAAGGCGCAGCACGTAACATAACGAGTATGTCCTTCCACAACACACAGCTGTTGGGTAGTGGACTATAACAAACAGGTCAAAATTTAAAAAAATATATGCCATGGATAAAAGTTCTTTTCAATTTAAATCTTTCACTTCTGATAAAAATTTCAAAATAAAAAAAAATTGTTATTGCTTCTTAAACAAGCAAACTGAGAAGATGGGCAGAAAAAAGAAGTGGTATAAAAGGAAATGTTTTCATGAACTGATAGTAACAGTGAATTCTTAAACTTTTTATCCTACAGAAAGAATCAACAAATATAGTGCCACACAGATAAGCATAACGCCTAGTTCGAAAATAATGCTACACATAAAGATAAAACATGTACTTACAGGGTCCCAAATTCTAACTGTTTTGTCAATGGATCTGCAAAAGCATATACATATTATTTAGCAAATAGAAGTGGTAGCTGATGCTAAAGGTGCTATAAATAGCAGATATTCTAGCAAATGCAGTCATGCAAGTACAATCCTAAATTTCCCCACTTGTTCATTTTACCCCATCCAAGCTATGTAAAGACATACATGAGGAGGTATCAAAGAAACCTCAGAAGAATATAACAAACTTACGCTGATGCCAATAAGTTTCCATCAGGGGAAAAACAACAGAAATTGACTGTCCCTTCATGTCCTTTAAAAGTCAGCTTTTGTCTCAAGACCACTGCTGGTTTTAAAATGAGCAATGTGAAATTGTGAAATTAAGTCACTTTTATAAAAAAAAAATTGTTTTACTTTACAATGTGCATAGAACCTGGAAAATGTTTTAGTTTTATTCCACTTTAGAAACAAAAGATCTTAAAAAGTTGCTAATTTGATGAACACCATATTCCATTCTCCAAAGTCAACTAGAAAATGAAGAGAAAACATGTACAGAGCTAGCATGTATCTGAAATACTGAAACTAAGATCTAGTATAAAAAATTAAGAAGAGAATAGTCTTTAGCTTACAAGTGCAGCTTAGATCTGCAGTCATTTCCCAAATTTTCACCAAATTGTCCTGCCCAGAAGTGGCCACCTTATAAGTGACACATTCAGTGACCCCACTGTTTTCCACTTTTGTGTGAGGGGCAAAGTCACAGCTTGTAACCCCAAGGTCATGACCTTCCAGAACATAGGTCAAAACTTTTCCATGCCCATACTTGGCATCCCAGACTCTCAAGTCCCCATTGCTACTCCCTGATATAATGAATGTGCTGTCAGGTGTAAAGGAACAGGCAACAACTGATGCATCGTGACAGGTGTTGTAGGACCTACAATGTATAGAAGGGAAAATTTCAAAATATTTTACAAGGCATAAGGCAAATCTTCCGTCTTTCAATAATTGCAAAAAAAAATTACGGAAGTTGAGCTTGAGAATAAGTGGCAACTAATTCATGTGAGCTATGAACCTTAATATATCTCTATCAATAATTATTTTCAAAAATTTCTTTGTAGTTCTCTATAATATCCTAATGACCATTTTCTTTCAATATGATGGGTACAGAAAATTTGACCTGACTAAAGTCTTCGTTGTGACGTCCCATAAAGCCAGAGTTTCGTCATCACTTCCCGATACAATAAACTTTGAGTCTGGAGAAAATCGGCACACTCTTATGCTCTGCTTACTAGTATGTTGAAATGTTGCCACCTGAAGCGAAAAATTAATAAATAAATAAATAACTTCAAGATAATGTAAATCTGAAATGATATGTTAATTTGAAAATCTATTTAACATAACCAAATACAAACTTAAAAATTCATGGAAATGGTTACATTTACATCACTCTTAATTAATATCATAAAACCTAACATTACAAGTATGATATTTTTTATTATCAAAATGGTATAGAATCTTTATTTATAATGTCTTTCTTTTTTCTCACTTCTATCAGAGACATATAAAAATGGTTTTTATATGTCTCTGCTTCTATGTACACATTACAAACCTTAGTCCCCAACTTTACATCCCAAAGAATAAGTTTGCCATCAGTAGAACACGTTGCGAGAAGTGTTCCAAATGGCGAAAATGTGCAGCAATGAACGTAATAAGCGTGGCCGACAAGTGGTGAAGCAGACACTTCAGTGAAATCCTCCGTATCCCATAATCTCACAGTTTTGTCTCCGGAGGCTGTAGCTAACTTTCCATCAGGTGAAAAAGCTACAGAATTCACATCAGATGTGTGGGTGGCTATGGTATGATGAAGACTTGCCACCAAATGTGGACTTGATGACATCATGTTGAGATTGTTCTTACTTATAAAATGTCAGTATCTGGAATCATAAGTACTTTGCATAATAATAAATGAACCTTTGATGTAAACATGACAAAATACTTAAAGTGAATCTTAGAATGTAAAACTTTAGCTAATGTAAGAAAAAATTACCTGGGCAATTATTATTTCCACAGATCTAATGTTATTAAATTCATGGAACTAATGTCAACTAAAAACGAAAAAATGCTGAAAAAACTACGCATGTTTATCTTAAAAATTTATGATGCTGTCTGTCCTCCTTGATATATTTTCCCCTCTCTTATTTATTTATTTTCTTTTTCAATCATCTGTCATGTTTTTTGTTTTGTATATGTACCTCTGACCAGATTGTATATAATGTATATATGTTATTAATTGTTGCAAAGCTTTCATCTCTATGTTTAAATATTACAAGAGACTAAAAAACCATATTAACAAAAATGGAATTAGAAATCAAATTCCTATTGCTGCTTTCTTAGAAGATGACAATCTATATAATAATGGTGTAAAGGATAATTGGCAGAGTCAGATTGATAAATTAAAAAAGAAACTTCCATCATTAGATATTACTGATAACACATTTAGCAGCTACTTGAAGAATTTCTACATAAAAAATGTTAATTTGCAACTTCAGAACATTGAATTCACCAAATGTGGTAAATTATTATTTTACAGTCAAATTAGAAAGAACTATGAATTACAAGACTACTTGAAATTTCCAATTAATAAATCTGTATGTTCTAAATTAACAAAACTGAGAATTTCTGCACACCCTTTAGAAATTGAAATAGGCAGATTATAATTCAAAGCCTTGTATCCCAAAAGAATCTCGTTTTTGTCACTGTTGTAAAACTGTTGTAGAAAATGAAATACATTTCATATATGACTGTCCTATAAGGCTATATATAAAGATATGCGAAAAAAGTATTACCCTTTGAACATCTATAATTTAAATGATAACATTTTGAAGGAAAATCATTGTAAAGTACTTTGTAATCTTGACAATGCAGTTCATTCTAGAAGGCTATGCGAATTTTTACATGAATGTTTTGAATTGTGTTCTAAAAATAGAGCACAATAATATATATATTTAATGCATTAATTAGTTCATCTCTGTCCATATTATACTTTTTATACTATTTGCATAATGATTATGTATAACTTCAAGTTGTAAACGTAGCTGACTTCACTGATTTGTACACTTGCATGTATGTATGTATGTACTTTAGTATGTGTTTTAGTAATCTGAAAACACACTGTATTTTTTCATTTTGTATGTAACATGGTTGTATGCCAACATGTTTGGTGAATCAATAAATAAATTGAATTGAATTGAATTAATGAACCCCATGTACCAATATTTTGGTTTGGGTGAATAAATTGAACTTGAACCACTATGGCTGATAATTATATAATTCCAAAACTGGTTTATACATTCAATTTATTATTCTTTATTTTGTAGAGCTTGGTATCAAGATATAACTTTATAAAAATCATGCAATCGCTATCAGATTGCTCATTATAAACATGCTTTATTGTGCATTGATACTGCAAGCTGAACACCACACCCTGACAACCTCATCCTTTTTTATCCCTAAATTTTGCTATGGTACCACTGTAATTGTAATTGAGACCCCAGTCCATCCTTTTTTTCAATAGAAAAAAAGACCTAAATTAGCATATTTATATGTCTTGGTTTAAAATGGTAGTCTTGGTTTTGAAATATGGATTTCAGGTGTGGCATATACCAAAGGTGCACATCGATATTTTTTGTTGTTGATGATTGCCCAAATCATTTGGCAAATTCATGCAGAATAAAAAAATTATCCATTGTAACCAGTTGGTAACTGAGACTTGATAAAATTATAATTACTAATGTATTACAAATCAAAGTAGTAGTGTCAAATTTATATAATACAAAGCCTTTAGTATAACACAGCTGAAAAAATCTAAACCTCTTGATAAACGTATAAAAGTAACCGTTATGAACAATTATTACCTGTCAGTCAGCTGATAACTGGATAACACAAACGGCTATCTCAAGTCAAGATCTCTCAATGAACTGATTTTATCATTATATTTTTAATTTTTAAGGAAAAAAAGATATACAAACCTGTGCTATCATTTATTCTGTAAAATTATTTTATTTTACAAACATATTCTCTCGTCATATGACAGTGACTGTGATTGCTTTCCTTTTAGACATTTCGCAAACATGTCTTCCATGTTGTTTTGTGACGTACTGACTGATCATGTGACGAGCACCTGTCTGCATGTTCAAAATGGCGGGATGATTTGAGATGCTGAGAGTATCTATGAGATGTTTTCTTTTAGATAGGAAAGGCTCAGTTGCACAAATATCTACCGATAAAGGACAAAGTCCATAAAGCACAGATGTTGCTTAAATGTTTTGACATTTTTTTGTCCTGAGAGGTCTCTTTTTATCAAAGATAATGCGAATTTTCGGGCAGTTCCAAGACAAGAAAGGAGGGGATAAGAAATCTCGACAAAAAGATGCACAGAAAAACTTCATCATAAAAAGGGATGATGTGTACTGGTCTAATCTTATACAGGTAAAAGGGTGAATTCTTTGAAGCCACAAAATAAAATCCCACAGGATGAATTTAAATCCCCAAACATACATCGTGAACCCCCTTCTATTGTAATGAACCTGCCATTCTCTGTTTATTGAATCGTGTGCGCTATCCATTCAACTATGGTATTTTCAATATTCAGAGGTATAAAAGCGTATAGATCGAAAATTCAATAGAGGGGAAACAGATAGAAAACATGAATTTTGGCGTTGAGTAACCAAGATACAGGAAAATGGCGACCGACACGGATAGTGTTCAAAATCACATGACTAGGCTGCGGATGAAAATGGTCCAACAGGTGATGTCATCAAAAATTAGATAAGAATTGTTTATTTGTAATAAGTAATGAAGGAAAGTAGTTAAATTAAAAAAAAAAAAACATCAGTGATGCTTGCTTTTATGTTTATGTTTACATGTGACAAGGAAGAAAATGTTTATAAATGTTTGTTTCAATACACATAATACAAAAGGTTGGAATTATTTACTGTTGAAGTTTAAGAAATGAATTATTGAATGGCACAGTGTACAGGTTTGATTAATGACGAATACACATTATCAGTACAGTCCCCCTCCCCTTTTTGGTTTTTTAATATGCGTGACTATGTATTTTATTTAGTTGATACAGGCTTATAATTCTGTATCTTTCATATACTAATACTATTTAATACCTTCATATACTACTACTATTTAATACTATTAATTTTGTTCAGTTTTTATTCAGAAATTTATCTTTTGATAGACAATTTGTTATGACAGACAATTGTGAATGAATATATATAAGTTCTACGTATTGACATTTTAAAATGAATATTCAGTGATAATGAATAAGTAGTTGCACATTTTTTCACATGCGTCACTAGCTGGTTATTTTTTCTGTATATGCTTAGTTCAGATGGAAATTAAGATGTGGTAGAAGGTTGGCACTTGTCACAAAGGCAAAGGTTGCCTTTGACATTTATTTAGAAATATTAAGTCAAATTGAGGTACTCAATATATATTTTGAATTAGTTATTTCATAAACTACTTTGCAAATATATACCTTTCTAAAAAATATACATTATTGATTTTAAGAGCTTAAAGGTGGAATTTTATCTCAGATTTAAGTTATTGATTTATCAACTTCATTTACCACAGCTGAATAGTTTGTTACATAAAAAAGTTCTTGGTCATAGTTCTCATTAGAAAAGTCAATGTCAAAAAATATCTGTATTATCGGTTAATGATTTTTCTTCTAAAATAGATGTAGCATTCAAAATTTATGATTCTTTAACTAGGCAATAATTAATATTGAGAAAAATTTATTTGAATATTTTTCATTTGAGTTTCTTTTTAATAAAAAAGAATTGTAAAACATCGTAACTAAGTTGGAGATTATAATTATATAATCTTAAAAGCACTGTATTTTTATGTAGGATATAAATGTCAGGGCACCATTATTCTACATGGTACAGTTTGATATACAATTATAATAATCTTTGTCAATATCTTGCTACTACAGTGAAACCTGTCTTATCCGACATGCTGCGGGAAATAAAATCAATGTCGGATTACGCAGTGTGTCGGATTACCCAGTGTTGAATATTTCTGAGCATTATCATTAGTGTCAGACGACTTCATACCGCCCCCCCCCCCCCCCAAAAAAAAAATCAATTTTCATTAGGTTTAGAGTACACGTGTATCTAATTGTCAAAGTGTTTGCATAATTGTGTGTTTCTTTGTTGTGTAAAATATACCTGATTAGCATTTCTTTGAGAAACATCGTTTGTGATATAGCATTAGTAACTCTGTAATAATATGTGAAGATTTTTCGTGGACAAAACAGATGGAACTGTCAATCGCTTCACGATGTTACAATTTAAATAATTTTTACTTTTTGACAGTACAGTAGATAAAAGTAAATGTTTCGTCTACCTTCTCTACACAGTGGTATTATTCTTTCAACAGATTTTCGCCATTCACGCGACTTTTTATACAAGCGGGACGTAACTCTAAAACATTGTGATTGCGATTGAATTTTAATCAAACAGACGTAGTTTAATGAATAACTTCAAGCGGTATTTTTTGCTTCCAGCAAATCTTTTATGTGCACAGCCTCGCTTTTTTCAGTGTATAATAACCCGGAAATGAAACATTTTCCCTTAGACAAGATGCTGCCTTCAAATTGTGTATTGTGTACAATGTTACTTATACAGTAGTTCGCCGTACTCATTTTTTATTTTCATTACATATGGCTTTACGAAGGACTCTTAGTGCACAATTGATTTTAATTTCAAACTAAAAACCTTATTTATTCTGTAAGGTAAAGGCGATCTAAATATCATGTAGTATTTTTATTTTCCGTCGCGTGGATGCTATTTTGTCAATGCAAGAATAACTACAAAGAGAAATGATTGCCTAATTTTTAATTTCAAACACTGTTCATTTAATGCTTAGATAAACTAAACACTTTCAAACTCATACGTGTAATTAACTACTCTCTAAGTAGACCAATCTTGTGACCAAACGGGTCAATCATGTTACCTGGCCTGCAGCTAATTACGGTACACCAGTGTAATTATGTCAGATTACTCAGGTGAAATCATAAAGAAATTATCTAGTTCTGTTGACAAAAAAGCGCCGGAATTCGGAATGTACAGTGGTCGGAATATACAGTGTTTTATTCTATAGAAATTATAATGATTTTTTGGGGAATAAACTATGAGGTCGGAAAGTCCAGTGTGCCGGATTGCACAGTTGTCGGATTGGACAGTGGGCACTGTACATGAACCTAGACCTTAGAGTCAGATGATATGCATGAACTTCATCAAGCAGCATCCATGTGAATCACTAGATGCAACTTTGTTCAAATGAAATCTGTCCCTTGTAAGGGGTGGGAGTGGAGCTAATGTGCCTAAGCAAAAAGTTTAACATATAGGAAAAAATGCATGATTTAAAAATCTTTTTTTTTTAAATGTTCCAAGAAATAAATACTTGAAGCTTATATTAGGGTTTCAGATCCAAATTGGTATAATCCAAAGCTGTTCAAAAAAGTTCAAGTTTCCATTTCTACTACAAGTGACCGGTCATGGTAGCTTAGTGCTAGGGTGCTTGCTTCGTGATTCAGAGGTGCTGGGTTCAATTCTCATTCCTAGCACTGCATCAAACCTGACACGTTTTAACATAGATCGTGACTGATTCTTTGCCGAGCACCTGGCACTAGAAGTGAAAATGGGTCTTAATTCGGATGAAAGTGTATGGACCGAGGTCCCTTTCATGGTAGTGATGGCACAATATAGATCCCTTACTGATAAGCACTGTAAGCACCATGCATCTGTCAAACTGTGGCACTTCATCTTATTAAAGCAGGTGATGTCTCTGCAAGAGGGAAAAATTCTTAAATGGGATGTTAAACAATGTACAATCAATCAGTCTACTACAAGTGTATATGTCATAAATGCTTATCCTCTTAAGGGCATCAGTTTAATATACAGAAAAATGAATTAAATCAAATCCCTAACTTTTAACCAAAACAACAAGCTTTCATGTTCAAGGCATAAATGCCTTAAATTTTTTACCTCAGATCGATCTGATTTTTTTTTCCTATAGATATACACTGCATCAGTATTACAATTAATTTCTTTTTATTTTATGAATATTTTTGATGTATACTTATGGATTGTATATTTAAAGGAAATTTCTATACCCAATTAACACTGTGACTGAAGTTTCATATTTGAGCATATGATGGAATTTCAGTGTTTTGAAATTAGATGTTAGTTCCTTGTGCATATTTTAATGAGTCAGTATTCTGTAAATGCTCTGGTCCAGGAATATTTTTTTCCAGGGGGTTACACACTAGCTCAAACAAATATTGAACCTGGAAATTATTTTACTGGAGAAAAAAAAAAAACGAGACATCTTGCCTAAACCTGTAAAACCTATTTCATGGGAGTGGAAGGGGGAAGGAGCAATTAACTTTCTTAAGTCAATTTTCTTCATATCTTTATACACATAATGAGGGGTCCATGTTTCCTTGAAAGGGGGGGGGGGAGAGAGGGTCCAAGGTCTTTTTTTGGTTACATAGCTGAGAAGTGTATGCATGTAGATGAATTAATCAGATTGGGTAGAATTTGGGTAGAATCCTTATGTAGACAGTGTAGATAAACCCATTTCAAGCCATGGGCCCAAGGTGAGCTAGGTTTATATTTATAAAAAAAAAGTTTCAAAATCTTCTTCTACAATGAGTTGCAGAACAGCAAGGTTATAATTCAGTTTACAGAGAAGATGTTAGTCCTGTGGTAATATTTTTATTTCAAGTACCTTTTTCATAACGCCTTTTCTCAATAAGAGTTTCACTGTTCTAAAATATTGTATAAGCAGAAATTTTAGCGAGGATTCAAGTTTGGCATTTTTGGCAAGGGTGTTGAGTTCGCTAAAATTTAATATCGCCAACAATAAATACCCAACGGAGTTTACTGTTATTGGTCTAGGTATCGCAAAATCACTAACATTATTTCTCACTAAAATCAAATACCTTTTATTTAGGGAAAATCACTAAATTAAATTTGCGTCTCGCAAAAAATTCTACCTGTATAAAAGTTGGTTAGATACGTCTTAAGTTTTCATCCAAAGGCTGTCAC